ATATAAAAACAAATAAGAGAAGCAGAATAACATGTAAGAGAAAGAGAGAAAAGAAATAAGAAAAAACAAGTGAGAAACTAAGAAAAAACAAGTGAGAAACTAAGAAAGAACAAAGAAGAATCTAAGAAAGAATTTTTGAAAAAACTCAAACAGAAAACCTAAAAGAAGGAGGAGTCAAATAAAAGCATAAAAGCCAAGAGAGGCACACAGAGAACAAACAGACAGAAACATATTGGGCCAGCCTGAGGAAGGCGAAACTACGCCGAAACGTCGCGAAGGCCCAATAAAGTGCACTAAACCCTAGAAATGGGTAATTTTTTGAACCAGGGCAGGGACACCACCACCCGGCCCCATCGATGGCCCGTGCACGCCAGGCTACCAGCTTGCTGGTGGCCTGTTCCTTATCCCACACCTAACCCTAACCTTTCCCCCTTCCCCTAATAACCCAAATTGGCTCTATGCCAAACCCTAATTCTAAGTTCGATTTGTTAAAAAAGGTAAAAAATTATAGTGTTAAACTAATAATAGTTAATTCATTTTTATAATGTCAAAAAATAAATATTGATTCACACACTCAAATATTAAATAAGCATTGACATTAATAAATAAATAAATACATTTAAACAGTATAATACAATTATTTTTTTCAATTCATATGATATAATTCATTGTAGTACGATTGGATGAACACATACAAAGTTAAAACCTAATTTTATAAGAAGACAGGAACACTGAAACAACATTATTAAAAACGAACGGTAAAAAAACACATTACAGACCAGAGGGTATAAAAGGAGCGCAGGTAGGAGAGAGAGCTCATTCTGCTTTCGACAGCCGAACGGTGCACATCTCCAGCAGCCAGCCATTGTTTTGAGCGCTTGGATTTTAGTTGTTTTTATTTTCTTTCATGCCTCACAGGCCTGAGGAAGACCTCTCAAGGTTGAAACGTTGCCTGAGGCACGTTTGAATTTTTTTTCAACCGGAAACCACGGTTTTTTGTTTTTTGGGATTTTTAAGCCCCTGTGCTCTCTTTTAGTTGTTTGTAGATTTTTTTACCGCACATCCAAACAGGCGGTTTTTGTTGTAAGGGATTTTTAAGCCTTTGGGCTCTCTTTTAGTTGTTTGCAGCCAAATAAAAGGTTTTTCTTTTAAGGGATTTTTAAGCCTTTGGGCTCTCTTTTAGTTGTTTGAGCCCCTTTTGGGTTTCACTTTTAGTTGAAAAAAACAATTCATTTTTTTTACATTTCATTTACATTAAAAAACATTTAAAAATTTAAAAACAAATACTTAAAAACCACTTGTCATGGCGGACGAGTGGCAAGTAGTTCGCTACGGAAGGCGGCGCCAGCGCCTCTTCCTAGACAACCCGGACGGGGATCGGGGGTTCTCCCGTGGGATGGCCCGTGCACCTTCCTTCTACCCTCGTAGGAGGAATCAATTCCCCTACCCTAACCCTAACCCTAACCACTTGGCCAAACATGGAATGCTTCGAAAATGGGAGGAATGAAAAGTAAAGATAACTGTAAAAAATCATGTCATAAAAGTTCAAAGTAGTGAGGAAAAAAAATACTTAAGTAAAGTACAGATGCCTTAAAATTATATCAGTGGGGAGAAAAACTGCAGGTTTAAGCAATGATGATCAGAGGGTCAATAATGCTCCAACTTTGAGGCAATGAAACAAAAATGTTTCAGACATGAAAAGCTTCAGGTGTGTTTGAAGAGTGAGGAGGAAGCGTGAAGGTACCTGTGTGCTCTCCACATGCAGGGCGATGGATGGATGCATTAATATGGCTACCCTTTTTATATTTTCTTTGAGAATCCAAGGAAAATTGAAAAATATACACAACAGTTTCAAATCAACTTTATTGCCCACTTTTTATGACTGCACTAAAACACGTGATCACAAGTTTCTCCTCATATTATCATGTATGTTTTATCATTTCTCTTTTACTGTGAACTCAGTTACCACAGGAAATTTATTAATTAAACCTTTAATCAACCATTAATCTACTAAACTATTATTGCCCCACAGGCAGCCTCAGCATGACTAAAGATTACAATATAAACTATAAAATTCATACGCTTTACATGCTTTCACCACACCAATATGAAGTTATATGTTTGGTCTCTCAAAAATAAGGAACAAGAAAAATTTGCAGAACCCAGACAGTTAAAACTAGAAGCTGCTGTCTCGCTGCAGGGAGTCGTCAGACTGGGTGGTCTCTAAGAGAGAGATCTGGAGAGGAGGAAAATGACAAATGAGAAACTGTTAGCTTTACCTGTCCCAGCTTGGATACAAACTTAAATTTGAGCTGTTTGCAGACAGAAAGAATCAGCAGTCCAGCTGATATCCTCTACACATTTACAGCCTGATAAAAGCAGTAAGCTGCTTGCATTATACGGGGTGTGGCCTCTTTGACTGACAGGTGGAAAAAGGAACATTTGTTCTCAAATGTGTTGTGGTTGTACTCTTAACAAATAAGGTATTTTGATGTGTTAATGTTGCCAAGCAGATCCAATGGAGTGAGTAAAAATATCATTTGGAACACAGCTTTTCATTTTTTCTGTCATTGGAGCGAGTGTTTCCAGGGTTTGTAGTGTTTTTAATAAAAGGTGAACTGAAGGAAACTGAACCTGATACGAGAAATGTTTCCACAATTATTCATTACCTTCAAACTCTCTTAAAAGCCCATCCTGTTCAAAGTTTGGGTTGTTCCACAGCTCTCTAACAAACTTCCGAGCATTAGTACGAGAATCAAAGCATTTTGGTGCGACAGTCACTTCATCTTGTTCACATGACGTGAGATTCTTTAACAGAAAATTTGGATCAAACCTCAGCACCTGGAAAAAAAAACGTTCTAAAGTAAACGGACCGCACAAAAAGAATGAAAGGGTTAGTTCATCCACAGAAAATTAATTCAATTTTCATTCAACTGATGATGCAGCTACATCACTCATCCCTGAAACCAGAGTAGGTATGGATATGGATTATCAAATCTGAAGGATTGATTTGATCCTACTGCTACAAAAAAAGCTAAAAACATTCATGCAACAGCATTTAAACTGTATCTGTGTATCTTAAATACTTCAATAATATAGCATCATAATAATCAATCTTTACTAATCCTGAAGTTAAAGCTCTGAGAACTGTTAGATGGTCACCAATAATTCCAGTTATAGGACAATTAAACACACAATAATGTTCTTGATCTGGATAACCTCAGGTGTGTGAAGTGGAGCAGTGAAGGTACCTCTCCTTTCTTCACATGCAGGGCGAGGGTGACATGATCCCAAACATACCACTGATCAGATTTAATCTTCTCAGCATCCATCTCGTTGCGTGTTTTAGTCAGCTTATACCTGACAAGAAGCAATGTTTTAATCAGCTCACAGAGAACTTTAAACTTATTCAGCACACTGACACTTGTGTGATGTAGTAGTTGGAGGAAGACATCTTTGGGGAAACAGGATGTGCAGACAAACATGCTGATCAAGTCAAATGTGTTTCACAGTCCTGCATAGTTCATGTGGGTCTCTCATACACCTTTGGAGTTATTCAGGATCAAACAAGGTTATACTCACCTACATTTTCTTCAAGCCGCTGCAGCTCAGATAATATTGTTAAAAACAAGCACGGCTTCATTAAGTACACTAAAGTTGTTGTAATAAAACAGTTCAGTGTGAGGTGGTAAGGTGGGAAACTGTTTTTCACATGCGATTGTTTGTCCTATGGCCATGATGACTGATATACATGTATGTACTGCAAACATATCTTTGGACCGTTTTATCTATTTCTTACTTGTGTGTGTCACACATGGCCTGTGGCCTCCAGATGAACTGTCCTTGTTCGTAAGTACACACGGCATCCTGGTTGACATCAGACAGGCTGGTATAGTCCTTAAAGAGGTTTTTATCTTCCTCGGTCGGGCGGTGAACCAGCACAGCATACATCACTTCCTTTTGGTACAGGGTGGTTCTGAAAACACGCATGACTGGTGGCATGTCCTCACAAAACTAGAGAGAAAAAATGTTTTAGTGGAAAACTCTCACAGACTACACGTCTATAAATGATCAGCCTGAGGCTCAGCACATGGACCGACAACACTAAACAGATTATCAATCACATAACTTCTATGTCAAGTGGCAGTGTAAAGCAGGCAGGAGGAAGGACCAAACACACATCGACACAGACAGACAAAAGCCAGGGAACAGAGGGAGAAGATCACAGAACCAGAGAGACACAGAGAGGCACACACAGAAACACAACTGAGAAAGCAGACAACTAGACAAATATGAAGACAAGACTAACATAAGTGGGGAAAACCTGAGGGAAAGACAGAGACGAGTCAAAGACATTGTCACGGCTGGGGCGGCAGTCGTGTGGAGGTGAGGAAGGAGGATCCAAAAGCAGACAGTGGCGGAGGTGCAAGTGGGTTTTATTTACAGTGCACAAATAACCAAGGTGTGGGCAGAACTGAACATAAACCTAAACTGGAAAAGCTAATACAAAAGGAGGACATGGAGCGAGGAGCAGAGAGACGCGGAGAAACACGGAATAACATTAAATACACGGCAGATACACAAATGAACACAGGGAATGAACACAGACGACGCGACGAGAAGCACAGGCAGACACCAACTATAAATACACACACCAGGTAATCAGGAAATGGCACACAGGAGGGGACACAGCTGGAACTAATGGGCATAACGAGACACAGACCTACAAAGTAAAACAGGAAACACACCGAGTGTTTTACAACACAAAACTCGGGGACCTGTACAGAGCACAGAGGGAGACACAGGTAGGGAAAATAAACTACAACCAAACCCCAACAACCAATACAAAATCAGAATAAACTAGAAAATAATAATCACAAACTCAAAGCGCTGGGTCACCGACCCAGGGCCATGACAGACATAAACAAGATCAAATAATAATTAAGACAAATCTAAACTAGAAATACTCAATAAACCCAAGAGTGTAAACAAACTAACAAGGAAATATACGATTATAATGAATAAACAAGACTCACAACGCAATAAACACAAAACACCTGGTCAGTGACCAAGGTACCGTAACATCCTATTGTCTTTCAGTCTTTTTCTACTTGTTTGGTGTTTTTATGTAAATTAGTTGGAGTATGTTTTAACCTGAGGTGATGGATGGAAAAAAAGAAAAGGGAATTTATTAAACTTTTAGCTTTGTGTTTTACACATCTCAACTGAAAGAAAATAATAGTAAACAGCTGTAAATACAGACATTAATATGAACTCAGGGAGTCTGTACCTGCGTCCTGTAGGCATTCAGCACCTCCTCCACTGTGAAGGTGAAGCGGTATGATCCATACCTGGACTTCTTTTTGAAGGCTGGAGAGGAGGCAAACTTCTTCAGAAAGCCGGGCTGCCTTGCCGTCATGTTGGTCTTCTGCAGCAACGTCCTCTCAGCTGACTCGATCTCCTCTTCTTCCACAGCCAGACTGAACCACACCAGGGACAGTTTATCCACATCATTTAGGCCATTGTGTGGATCCTTGAAGCCATTATCTGTGTTGATTCCTTGTAAACCAAATCTATGCGTGTCGTGTTTCAGATTAGATACACGAAACTCTGGTGAACAATCGTTAGGTCCAGGGTATAAAGGGATGTCTTTTGTGAGATATTTCTTGTACATATGAGTATCTCTGGCTTTTTCCTTCAAGTCACTCAATTTCAGATGCTTCCCTTTATACGATGTTGGTATAAAGGATGATTTATTTTCTTTTCCCGCCATTACCAGATGTGAGTGATGTTGATCAAAAAGACGAATGAACAGTCCAGACTTTCAAGAGTATCACTCGCTGCTGATGTGGAAGGAGTGAGCTGTGCTGTCTCATAGCCTGAGCTTTTATACAGACCAAGCCAGACCAGTGACTCATCAGCTGGTCATACATACGCACATGCAGGAGAATGAAAACAGGAAAAACCTGACAACTTCAATTTTTCATCTTAAAATATGATCAGGGCTTTCGTGTTCTGCAAACATGGTAAATCGCCAGGTAATTGAACTTGTATAAAAATGCAAAAATCTGTTGATATGTTTGAGTTAAGTCTTCAGGACTGGTTCTGCCTAAAAAATGAGTAAATGTTGCTTTTTTTATTGTTTATTTGGGTAAACACACTTGCTCCAACTTTGGAGAAAATAAAATAAGATGTTAAATAAATCTGTAGGAAAGTAGAACACCTTTGGAAATCAACTAAACTCGAAGTTCACAGGCTCCACCTTAGGGAACTTTGGGTTTCCCTACATGAAACCATGAAAAAAAGCCTGATCAGGATATTTTTCTCAGTTAATCTCATCAAGCAAGAGAAATTCCAAGGTACTGTTTGACTCCATAAACTCCATAAAATAAAAATTGTTTACTCCATGGTCCACCAAGTACCTGTGACCTCTATATCTGAGAGTGATGACTTTCTGAATTTCTTTGTGGATAAAGTTGATAATGTCCGTATGAGCATTGGTTCTTCAATACTGTCTGTTTGTGTCTCTGGGCCACCTCCCCCTCATTTACTGTCAGTGTTTAACCCAATGAACATACATGACCTTTCACTCCTGCTGGATAAAATGAAAATTACCACTTGTGCAAATGACATTCTACCTGCTTGGCTGTTTAAAAATGCTCTCTCTGCCATTGGCCCCTCTATTGTAGAGATATGCAATGCCTCTGTTTTAACAGGTGTGGTCCCTAGGTTCTGTAAGCATGCTGAAGTTGAGCCCATATTAAAAAAGAGCAGTTTGGATCCAACTCAGCTCAAGAATTATAGGCCTATTTCTAAGCTCCTGTTATTGTCAAAAATTCTGGAAAAAGTAGTTGCAGATCAGCTTACTGTTTTTTTAGAAAAACTTAAAATGTATGACAAATTTCAGTGTGGTTTTCGTAAAAGTCACTCAACAGAAATCGCATCACTTAAAGGCTCTAGTGACATTATGATGTCAGCTGAGCATCCACATTCATGGTGTTGTTGGACTTGACATCTGCCTTTAAATCCATTGACCATACCATCCTGATTAACAGGCTCCAGGACATAGTGTGTCCGGTCTGGCTTTGAAGTGGTTTCAGTCATACCTCTCCAACAGACCTTTTTGTGTTTTTGCAAATCATTTTACGTCACATTCTAAGGATCTGACATGTGGGGTACCGCAGGGTTCAGTTCTGGATCCTATTCTTTTTCTTTTGTACATGCTACCTCTAGGACTTATAATTAGGCAGTTCCCTGAGGTGTCTTATCACTTCTATGCTGATGATATTCAGCTCTATTGCTCTTTTAGGCCGATGAATGTCCATAAACTGTCCTCTGTAATTAAATGTCTCGCTTCCATTGAACAGTGGCTTGGTGACAACTACTTACAGTTGAATTCTGAGAAGTCAGAAACATTAATTATTGCCCCCGACAGCCAGTTATCTCTAATCAAACAGCATCTTGGTTCTCTTGGCTCATCTGTTCACCCGATCTTGGTACTGACTTTTAAAGCTTTGAATTGTGATGCCCCTGCCTACATTTCTGATCTTTTAAAACCCCACGCTCCCTCTTGCATCCTGAGATCATCTAATCAAAGGCTGTTGGTAGTCCCACGAACACATTTTAAGACCAGTGGTGATAGATCTTTTAGACCGGTGGCCCCCAGGTTGTGGAATGCTCTCCTTCTATTATTACGTCGCCTTGATTGAATTTGTTCTTTTAAAAAGCAGCTTAAGACTCATTTATTTAGATTGGCTTTTAATTAGATTTGTGCTTTATTTTTGATTTTTGATGTATTTTATGTTTTCCTTTTTTTTTATTACTGTGAAGCACTTTGTGGTTTTTATCCTGTGAAGAGTGCTATACAAATAAATTGAATTGAAACTGAATTGAATTGAAAATGAAGTAGTGGTCAGAGAGCAGGTCAGGTAAAGGGTGGATGCACTGATTCTTATCAGCACCTTTCTATTTTTTCAGCACTCAAACAGCTTTATACAACATGCCTCATTCACACAAACGCTTTTTTCTATAGGTGCATCAACAATTTACTTTCCATTGTGTGTCTTTAGGTTTTTCTATCATGTTGATGTTTGAACATAAAGAGTCATTTGAAAGTTTTAACTGTTTCTCAGTCTGTGTTTAAAAAATTTGGCTGCTGTGTGTGCTTCATATGTTAGTGTCTCTGTTTGTTTCAGTCTGAGCTCTGATTGGTGGTTCCTCGTGGGTTTTTGCACGATCAGAGACTTTTCCGCCGCTCAACATTCAGCTTGCGTACAGCGTCATACATACAATAGTTAAATATCTGCACAAATGGACACAAACACAATATTAACACTGCAGTTCTCCTTCTTGGTGTCAACTCATGACAGCCACGTATACGATGGTTAAAAAATATTGTCCTTAGTTCAAGAAACAAGTGTTTCACGATCACTTCCACTCCTCCATACCTGCACACACACACACTCTACATCCAAGGTTCACACTCTACATTCTACATTCAAAATACTCATTCATTTACATGATAAATGAGCTCTTCTTGTACAGATATTATTTAAATTCATATAAGGAATCACCTCATAACAGGAAAATTAAACAAATACAACAATCAGAATTCAAATCAAGTCCCCAGAGTGTCCCATTTCTGCTTAATACCAGGATTATAAGTTCAGAGTTTTAAGATTTTATTTCAAGTGCTGTGTTTGAGTATAAAGAAATGTGAAGAAATAACGAGATCAATGTGTGTGAAGAATAGAATTTGTTAACAAATAAAATATGATGAAACTCAGTTGTCCTCAATGAAACTGTTTAGTCAGATACTGGTTAAAACATGGGTTATGATTTCCCATAAATGCCACCCTTCTTAAAAATGATGTGGCAGTTAGAGAACATGAAGAACTAGTTCAGTATCACCATCTGAATCCTGTTTGTTGAACCAGTTTAATCTGACAACAATGAGAGTGATGTGTGACAGCTTTAACTTAATGACCTGTGAAAAGATTGTCAGTAATGCTAAGAATGTGTAAACAGATCGATGAATGAATGAGTGAGTGTCTCAGGATGATCTGACAGAAAGATTAAAAGTCAACTGCAGGAGTTCAGCTACATGACTTCACTGAGATTAAAAAAAAGAACACCTCCAGAGCAAACACACATTCAGAATATGAAGAATGTTTTAAGATCATGATAAAAAAAACAAAAACTACATGATGTATTAGACACAAGTAACATGACTATTCAGAAACAAAGATATATATCTTTTGGCTCTTTAACCCTTATTATGACAGGACGATCTATCTATGTACTGCGCTTATGCTGCAGGCCCGGATGTACTTTCTACATTGGCTGTCTCTCACCCTTTACCCATTCCTCTTGCTTGTCATGTGTTTCTTTGGTGTATTAAGAGTTTTTTCATGTGCTATGTGCAGAGGTGTTTTTTTTTTTCTGTTCTCAAACTGATCTCCCTATTGGAGCTCAGTCTGGGGGGATGTTAAAAGATTTTGAATTTTATTACTTTTATTACCTTTATTCAACTGTAATAATTGCTTATGTTTAGCTCTATTTGAATTTCGCAGTAATGCCTGTACATAGCATGCCTGCAATCCTTTAACTGGAACAAACTAACCACATGAGGAAGTTGCTCAAGTTTCGACTAAACCCACATGTATTGTTTCAACCCATTACAAGATCGTTAATCAACTTGTTCCTCTTTGTCTTGCAAGGCTGCATCCTGTGCAGCCTCGAATGCAATCACCATATAAGGAGTTGTTTTTCTCTTAACTTGTACTCCACCCATGAGTGTTATGTAAGATAAGACAGTATATAATAAAGTTTGAGCAGATGCCTGGCGCGCATTCCTGCACGACTCTGTAGTTGATGGATCGTGCTCAGGCATCGCCCATGTACATGAATTAACTCTGAGTCCGTGATTCTTTGCTTCCTGAGGTTTTCTCCTAATAGGGGAGTTATTTTTTTCTCCTTATCTTTCCTCATGTGGTGCATTTTCCATTGTTATACCTCTCTGACCTGTCTTCCCCATGTGATGTTTGTGTGTAATGTATGTATGGTCGGAGGGTAAGATGGCGCCGCCATTGTGTGCAATAGGTCGGCAGCCTTAACATGAAATTTCCCATTGTGGGACTAATAAAGGTATCTTATCTTATCTTTAGGCGGTTAACATTAATAATTTAGTTGCTTTTATTTTTCAGTACTGAGCTCAAAACTCTGCACTAAACTTCCTGTTTCTGTACTTCCCCTTACTGAAGTCTCTGTTGCCAAGTTGACCTGTCACCCTCTGACCTAGTTCTTTCTTACAGACTTTATTACAAAGTACAAAAAACAATATAATCAGAAAATAAGCACTAAGAATATATATTTATCTTGTAACAACGGTTGGTATCAGCTCTGCTCTCAGTCTTTACTGCACAGGTGAAAGTAGAAAGTGTGACTGGATCTATAGACTGGAAACAGAGAAACATGCTGAACATTTGAAGCTTTGCAGCAGAAATGTTCATATTCAAAATTAAGCAAAATGTTACAGAAACTGGAAGGACTAAAATGCAGGACTCTTTTGCTCAAAGGAAGAACAGAGGGTTTATTCACAAACACCAGGTAAAATGTTCGACAGTGATAAAGTGCTATATAGAAGGGTGCGGGGATCAGGGCTCTGGGGAATGTGCAGGCACAAGCACGGGGCCTCTTCTCTCTCTCTGCATCTCACCTGTCTCTCATACCTCTCTCGCACCAGAATCTCCGTAGGGAAGAAGGGCAGTTCCAGGGTGTCTGTACACAGGGAAATGACTAGATTAGTTGTACCCTAGCCAGGATTTCACTGAAACAGGT